TTTATAGGGTCCATCTTTTTCGACTTTCAAATTTTTTCATACGAAGACCCTTTAGAATAATTCTAATTCATAAAAAAATAGTTCCTATCACATTTCAGCTCGATCGGACAATGGGAACTCGTACAGACAACTCGTTAAACATTTGAGTTCCCTTATATTACACTATCAGCATTGATTTTTAAAGTGTATTTTCCATAAAAATCGACCTCCATAAAAAGACTCCATAAAAATGTTTTTTTTTTTAACATATGTGTCTTACTTTTCTGCATCATTTGAAACCTTATACATCTCATTTAAACAATTAGGTAAATTGCTGTCATTTAAACAATTAAGTGAAACACGATGTAAATTAGATCATAGATCGGTATTCATAATCGATTCTTATATTTAACATCATCTTATGTACTTAAGATGTCACAAATTAATCAGAAGGTCATATTAGCATCTTAGATGTTACTTAAGACAGTCTTCAAATAAGAACGGACTATGAATACCAATCACTCTTAAATTTTTGGTCGGCAGTATATATTCATATATAACTTATATTTTATATTATGTATATGTCTTCGACATATTTTATCTATACTTGATCAAAATACGAAAATATATCAATAAATATGTAAATTAAATTTATATTTTTAGGCTAAAAAGCGGCAATCCTGGATATCTCGTAGCGTATCAGACTGGGGAAGAACTAGCCACTATAAATTTATCCGGAATACCGCGGATATCGGAGGAAGTCAGCGTAGTTGCGCATAGTCCCAACTATGTTCAAAATACGAAAGTTATGAAGTAAGTCTTTTAAAAATTTGTAAAAATCTATTTTATTATTTTATCTGTTCAATAAGTATTTTATTTTAATACCGGAACTTTATTGCTTTTGTAGGATGAAACTGCCGTCGAATGCTGTACCCATATCGCCAAAAAGCACACTGGTTTTAACATTTGTACCGAAAGAGGAATCGTAATTAATCTAATTTATAATTAAATCAATCCAAAAGATAATTTAAATTATGAGAGCAATCAGCTATATATGATTGCGTTTTGCTTCAATATACGAGACTGATGGAAATAAAGCTGTATGTCAAAAAGATTATGTAAAATTAAACTGCATTTAAATTTAAAAAAACAATAAAAACTCGAGATCTTAAAAATGTGAAAAATCTCTCTTTAAAATTTTTATGAGCTAATAATATTAAATTATATATCATTTTATTGGTCTTGTGTCACCAAAAAAATAAGTACAGGTGGAAGCTGAAAGAAGGTATGACCTGTTCAGCATCACTAGTATTTACTATTCATTGCCTTCATTGTTAGAACAGTCTAAAAGTGACATAAAAAATATCTTCAACGTACTCTTAAATTTTATTCTTGCATTTGAGTGTTTGAGATATTATTTCAAATTTGCCAATTAACGACATGGACAATTAATATACACCTGTATTATAATAGTTAATTAGTATAAAGTTTTTTTTGTATCAATTGACTAATATCATGATTTCTTCCACCATGGTTAAGGATACTATTATTTCATTCGTGCGTTTTTGTCGTACGACAAATGTGTTTAGGCCAGAGAGATCCTTGGATCTCTCTATCTTATAGTTAATTAATAGACTTGAAAAATTGGTCGTACGATAAAAACGCATAGATGAAATAGCAGCCTAAGTATCACATATAAGGCGCATTCGGGGAGATGTTATTCGTGCCATTCTATCTTTGTTTTATGTCTAAAAAACAATGAAGATAATCTGATCAGAAATAGCGCTAATAGAATTTCTCTGAACGCACCAATAATAACATATGATGTTCACCCTCTATTAAATTTGTTATCTTTCATTTGTGAGACTTAAATTATATTATTATATTATATTATTTATATTATATTATTATAATATTATTTATTATATTATATTATTATTTCTCTCAATGTCCTGTACAAATGCATATAGAGATCGAATGTATTTAATGTCATAATCTAGGTCATAATCTAGAACTCATAGTAAAATGGGCGAAGTTATTTCTTGGATTTGTGCAAAAGCTTCATTCGTTCGTATATTGAAACAAACTATAACGTGAAAAAAATGTTTTACTTATGTATACCCATGTACAAGCAATTATATTGCGTAGCAAAAGAAATATATCTCGATGTACGTACATGAAATGAAATATATACGTATGTAGCAAACATCAAATACAAAAATTGCTAACTTCTTTTAGAGGCTTTATACTGTATTCTGGTAAAAAAAGATGATAGAGAATGATAGAAAAGAATCCCATCGTTTTGAATATGGAATCTGATTCGTAAATTCACTGATTTGAATTAAATCTTATAGGAATATTGTACAAATTTTGATAAAATATAGAATTCATGTCTGATCAATCGTGATGCTCGCGAGATCGACGATAGAAAATGATATAAATTTATAGAAAACTATACAAATTCATAGAAATCCAACTATTCTCTATTAACTTTTTTTTACCACGGCATTTACATTTTCGAAATTTCATAAATTATTGAAAGAGAATCTTTATTAAAAGAATCCCATAATACTTTCACGTATATGTCCGCAGACTCACTTTTACATAATAAATACACAGCCTAATCATATTAATTTTAAACATGCGGGAGATAGTACGTATAAACACTATATATATGTATATTGTTCTGGGGAGACTTATTCAATATGCAGTTTGTGTGGATCAGTGAATTTTGCCGTTATAATATAAAAAACAGCCGGTAATACAACTAGGAGCAACATTGTGGGATGAATAGTGATTTCCCGAAGAGTCGCAACCGCTATCACGCCATATCCGTGCAGCAACCAATGACCCAAAATAACAATCACATTCTTTATATCCGAGATGGAACTCAACAACAATGACTTTACCGTTTGATTCAGTTTAAATGCGAAATGCGCTGCATTTGAAAGCACCGATAGGATAATAAGAATGTAAGGGAAGGAGTAATCTGTAAAAAATATATAATTAGCAATTGGCACATACCACTATAGGGTGTATATATATAGAACATACATATTAGACCTCCTCCCACGGCATGGAGCAGTGCGAGAATTGGATAGAAATATAATGCTGCATAAATAGAAAACTTTCCCTGTTTTGGTAAAAATTTCTTAGCTATTAGTGGCCTTATTAACAGCATGAGAACTATTCCTAAAGCGTAGAAGACAAAAACCATTGTGTATCTGTAAGATCATGAAGTAATATATGTATATTAGAGATTTATATACGCGCACACGCGTGTGCGTATGTGTGTTGGAAGATATTCCATTAATATCAAATCTGAGAAAAATAATGGTTTTTATTTACCTTTGGAAAATTGTAATGCATTCTGTGATAAGTTAATAAATTTTCAATAATATTACTTTAACATTAATTAATCTGATACTTTTATTATTTGATTAGAAATTAAGTGTCAATAAAAATTTTATCTTTTATTGTTGTAATCCTACTAATCTTCATTATATCACAAAAATACTTTACAGTCTAAAGACTTAACAAAAACTTTGTATTTTCATATGTGGATAAATTAATTTAATATATAGGTAACTGTACTAACAATGGATAAATTGCCTCTTGCGTGCAGTGTAAAGTTGCTTCGTAATTAGGATTCGGATTATGCAGTAGTGTGTACCAGTCCGATAACTTTTTTGCCTTGCATGATTTAATGCTGAACGATCCAATGGGATCTGTTAGCTGAAGGACTATGAGGGACGCCAGGACTACTTCTAATAATGCAGAGAGATGAAGGACGATCACTTCTTTGGGTATATTACGACGCATTGCGACCATGTCAATGCAAAACCAGTGCAGCACCAAAGCTAACAGGACCATGAAGCCCAGGTACAGCCAATCGTAGAACATTGGCGCGTCCTCACAGGGTTCGCATGCCGATGAGGCGTTAGCGCGGAAGCCACGCGGACAAGCTCCACAATTGCTCCAATTTCCATCCGGCAGCAATTCCCTGCCACAGTATAATCCGGGACATCGTGTAAGGACATTCATGATATCGCTTTCCTTGAGACAGCTTAAAAATAAAGAGGGTAATTAAGTATACAATTCAGCTCCCTGTATCTCAAAAATAAATGAAATTAATTTTATTCGATGTGTTTTTGCATACAACGAAAGAATCTGATAGAAAAGAGCATTGCTCTGCCTTGCGAACAGAGATATTAGTCGTCAAAGTTGACTATTCAGACTAAGAAAACTGTAACAACCACGCAACACTGCGCCACTGTGGAGATACTGGTGACAGTAAGCGCTTGTTTTAACTTCAAAGATGCGTTGATTTTGGTAAAGATTTAGACTACCTTCCCGCACTTCAAAAATCAATAAAATTGGCCTTGTTCGACGCAAAGAATCTGACAGAAATATGTGTCGCTCTGCTCCGTGGCCCGAGATATTAATCGTTCTTTTTAAATTTCTCGAGTGAGAAAAATTACGCGCCTTGCACCCTAACCTTTAAGCTATATGACGCAAAGACATAATACTAAATTCAAATTTATTACACTGTTAATTCATTATGTATTATTTCGTCGTAATCGAGATTCTCAAACTACAATTAGTTAATCAGCTCTTTCCTCCATAGTCAACAATCTTCAATCAAACTCGTAAACAAAGTTCCTTTTTCTTATTTTACAGCAATTCTAAATAAGCATGGCTCTATTCTTTTTGGCTGAACTTTTGCACCAGTTCATCTTTCTTCTTCTTCTTTCCTCCTAAAGAGAAAAGAAAGAAAGATGAACTGATGCAAAAGTTCAGTTAAAAAAAAACAGGCCTATTTTCTCTTGGCTGCACTAAAGTCCTATAAGAGAAGCGTGACTACATGTTAAGTGTTCTGATTGATGATTGCAATCACGTGACTTAGCAGCCAATCACGAATTGACTTCTGTGTATTAGAAATGGATGCTTAATGGATGATTGGTGAATTTCACAGTCTGTTTTGCAAACAATGCCAGCAAGAATTGAATGAGTACAGCGAATTCAACAATTGAATGAGCGAATACTGTTATTGGTGTATTCTTTTGGATCATTCAATCAGCATTAAGATCTGAAAGAATACATCAATAGCAACGAGCGTTCACTCAACTAATACTATTTTTAGTGTTTGTTAGTATTTTTGGGATACTGAATACGGTCCATTTGATACTGCAAATGTTTCAAGCATTTTTTATTTAAGACCACTTTTATCAAGCTCTGATTAACTTAACAGGCCTAGTAACTTTGCAGGATTTGAACTAAAGCTGATCGGAAAAAAAATGTAAAGAGAGAAGTTATAAATATAAATTTGTAATATTAATTTATGTAGCAAGGTTTCTCTCTGGTAACTGTTTATTAATAACGTATTTTTATATTCAATATAGTATGTAAAATTACAGTTAATTATAATTAATGAAATATGTTTAATTCTTTAATTTACATTTTTTCTCCGATATCAGCTTCAATTGGAATCCTGCAAAGCCCGTTGAGTTAATCGGAGCTTGGTGAAAGTGGCCCTCAATTAATTAGTAAAATTCTTTCTTCTGATTGATCAGTCAAATGTTTTCAAAGCGTTTGTAGTGCCAGGTGGACCGCACCCATAATAGATGTGTAAGTTGGTCGCGTTTCTCTGATATATGATGGAAATATACAAGGTTATGATCACGGCACAGATTCTTGTATAACGCATAAGAGAATCAACCAATTGAAATTATTCTTTTCTATAGAATGAAAGGAAGGGAAAGAGATTCTTATGTACTATGCATTATGCAAAAGTCTGTGCTGCGGCCTTAAAACATTGCGCATAATAGCGATAGCAATATTGGAAATAATCAATCAAATGTTCTCCAATATGCGTATAATTACACAAATATACTGGAAAAGCCAATCAAAATTTACGCTGCTACTGCGCAACTACGGGAATGGCTCTGATAAATCTCTGATAATTCTAAAGGTATATCCACACAATTTGCATAGCCGCATAAACGTATGCACAAAGAAAATTATCCAATCACATTTTACACAGCTATGCAAGTCTGTATGGATATACCCTAAGATCCTGCGCACAATGGAGGAAGTAATAAAAATAGGAAATATTAAATTTCAATCTACCAGGAATTGTATATTCCGATATAACTAGCATTTGATAGATCGGAATTTTTATACTTATTCCTGTTCTTAATATTCGTTTTATTGTGCGCAGGCCCTAACTCAGAATAATGACGTCACTATTGCTTACTTTGGTACAAATTTATCACATGATAACACAGGTTCATAACCTTAATTTTAAAGTGAGTTTATGAGACTCACTAAAGCACACAATCTCGGTGCAGATTGTAGGTAAAAACTCGATAAAAAAACGGTTGATGAATCTTACTTGTCAGAATGCAAAAGGAACGCGCAATTCAACTGAGTTATGACGTCACATAAGTGAAAATGATCGAAGAGTAGATGTAAATTGAAAGAAACTAATGTATGAAAAATTTATACAAGAGACAGAAAGTGAAAGGCGAGCGAGAGAGAGAGAGAGATCAAAGTCATCAGTACACGGTATACGTAACGCGGCAACGTGATTCGTCAATAACGATCGAATCCATCGCGCGTCGTGCCATCCTTTGTGCGATTTCATCTTTCAGCGCGATTGCTCGCGACGGCCGCGACGTCCGCAGGCGGTAGGAATCGATCGCAAGCGCAGCGGTCAGTTAGTAGCGGCCGATACGCCATTGGTTGGCGGTCTGTGGCCAATAGCGTGTCACTACCAGCGGCATGCTCGTGACGCTACCGCCACCTGCCGCGCTCGAGCACTTCCGTCGGTATTCGGCCGCCTTCGGCCAACAATTGCCGAGTACATGTTACTATTTTCAGGCACGCAGGGCACCTCTTGACTTGACGGATTTTCAATAAGCGAAGGTGGGCGACGGTGTGCGACGTGACAGTTTCGAGATTCAAATCCTTTTTCTCCGCGTGTGATTCATCTCGCGGAACGTCGCGAATGGACATTGGGAACCTCCCCTCCTCCCCACCCCTTCCCCACCTGGCTGGAAAAGCAGCACGGTGCGGTGCGGTGCGGTGCGGTGCGGTGCGGTAGTGACGAACAAGCGAGAGATTTGGTCAGGGCGGTGGAGTGGTGTGTTTGCGCGCGCGCGTGCGACGAGTGAGCGGAGCAGTGGCGAACTGCGAAGCGAAGCAAGTGAAGACTTTTCCGCGAGTGACTTTTCCGAGTGGAGAATAGTAAAAGACACGTCAGCGTCACACGCCAGGCCGCGGACGAGCCGAGTAGCCAGAGTAGCCGGAGTGACGATAGCAGCGACAGCGACGCAAGGCGATGTCGAACCACGTTCCGGCGACTGTCGACGCCTGACGTAAGGTCGCGTTCGTTCCACCGGAAAATGAGAGACAGACCTCCACGTAGCAGCGAGCAGCTGATGGCGGTCGTGTCCAATGCTACTGAGAGTAGTTGCTCCTAACATACACGTCTACTCCAAACGTCGTGCAGTTCACCGTACATCGGACGTGCAAGTAGCGAGGAGGAGGAAGTGGAGACGGAGTAGTAATAGCAGTTGGTGGCGTTGTTCGGCAGTTGCCGGTCGCCGCTGTGAAAAAGGAGTCGTCGGACAAGCGTCGACGGCGGCGAGAATCTCCGGCATCTCTCTATTCTCCACTCTCTGCTCGACGGAACGACGGATTGCGCCCGTCTGCTGACTGCTCTAAGCGATTGTATTTATCGTGTGCGTGTGTTCAAGTGTGTGTGTGTGTGTGTGTGTGTGTGCCTGCGTGCGTGTGGGGTGTGTGTATGTGTGCGCGCGCGCGCACACGGCTACACTTATTATCCACGGCCATACTTCCTATACGAACGTGCGCCGCCGAATCAACTGTACGCGCAACTTGTTCTATTTCATAACGGTGCTTCTTCTCTTTCCCTCTTCAGCCACCGGCGGTCCAGTACGACTCGACTCGGTGCGCGCGGTCGCACGTTGCGTACGTGCGTGGGTGCGTACGTACGTACGTACGTACGTGCGTGCGTGCGTACAAGCGAACGGCACGCAATCCGTGACATTGTCGGAGAGGAGTCCTCGTCATCGAGTGATCACTAACCGAAATCATCATCATCATCATCATCATCATCATCATCATCATCATCATCAGCAGTATCATCAGCAGTAGCAGCAGCAGCAGCAGCAGTAGCAGCAGCAGCGGCGGCAGCTATCTACCATTGACCGGCGCTACTGCCGCTGCCGTCGTTGTCGATTGAATCCACCTTGCGTCGCGAGTGTATTAAATTGGTGTACCGAATTGAGATTGAGAAGGCAGAGTCGCCGGGTCGGACGTTTTACAACGTCGTATCGTAGCGGTTCACATACTTTTCGCACGGTGTAGGTGGGAGCACCTACGTTCGCGGAAGGAAGGAAGGAAGAACAGACGGACGGACGGACGGACGGCAGGCAGAC